TTCAATTTCAAAAATATGCATTAGTATTAAAATCTTAGAAAAAGGTTTATGAAAATGCATTTATTAATTAATATATAGCAATGTATTTGAATTGGGCTATCAAGAAAAAAAATTATTGTAGGCAATATAATAGCATTGAATGATTTAACTAGATCGCTAACAATTGAATTCAATAATATAAAACATTTGCTAATCAGCTAAATCGAAAAGCATTAATGAATTGATGTTGGAATAAACTTTAAATACAGTAGTAAATACGGTTGTAATACTTGTGGAATTGACATCCAAATACTTCGAAGTTTGTAACTTAATTTTATTAACATATTATTTACTATTGATATAGTATAAAATTGTACTAAAATTTATGTACCCCAGGTATTTTATAAATTTTGAAGCAGAAATCTAAATGTGGTAATGTTAAACCTTGTGACTTTTGAATAGTAAATGCCCAAGCAAGGCATAAAGGAAACGCATGCGGAGCAAGTTCCTGACTTTCATCCCAAGTATATTTAATGGGTCGAATTGGTACAACTTGATGATAGTTCAATATTGACAATGTTGCTCAGTATAATTGTCTATTTAAATTAAAATTACTGTAGAGAGTGAAGGAGATGTTCTTTCTAGCTTATATTTAATATCATCGACTGTATCCATTGCTCCATTAACTAAACCTTGATTAGTCCAGAGATTAGAAATAAGCATTACATGAGCATTAATAGATAGAAATAAAACAGATTCAAGGTCATTTGTCATGTCAAAATGTGCATTTATAGCACTAGTATCACTATCACACAGTTTTTATCTTAGCAATAAGAAGGTTAAGCTGTTTTAGTTTAGTAATATTATACTCATCAATATGATCATAATTTGTAAATAGTCAAATAGAATTTTTGAAATTGACTTTTTTTGTTAGTGAAACTAATGTGCAAACTTTATTATTAAGCAATTGTTAATCATCTTTTGTAGATCTTTCATAACATAAGTGCAAATGAAAACTATGAAATGCATGCTATTCCTTTGAATTTCTAACTTATCATTATATAGTTTCTAATTTGAATATTTTTATTAAATTGTGTATAAACTTTATGACTCACTTCTAACAAAAAATCATACAATTAGATATCTGAAGTATATATTGAAAAATCAAAAACAGTAAGAGTTGATTAAAATTATCAAAAAACAATACAGAATTGCTTCTAAATAGAATATCTTAATTATGCAAAAAAGTTTAACGTAAGTATTAATCAATTATTGTAAAAAGTTTATGATTGATCATGTCTTTTTGTCAAATAAAATGATTTTAATATTTTTAAATAACTGTTAAAGCTTTTTTTAAAAATTCAAAAATAAGTTCTAAATTTTTAAAATTTGTAAATAGTAAAAATACAGAATGAATTATCTGATCATTTATATTAAAAGTTATAATACCAGTTAGAATAAGAATTAATATTAGTTGATTTCTTTTGAATTAATTCTTATTATTGTGTTATTTCAAACATATTAATATAAATATTTTTCATAATATAAGATTTCTTGATACTAACTGTACTTATAAAATAGTATATAAAGACTCTATAAGTATATTTAAATCATTAAAAATTATAGAATAATATATAATTACATAGTTATATCTTTGTTATATTATTTTATTTAATATAACTGAATCAATTTAACTCCTTTTATTATTATAAAAAGTTGCTTCAATTTGATTATATTTGTATTTCTTTATTATTTTAAGAAAAACATTATTATATTTTGATAAGAAATATAAAGAAATATTTTAAATTACAATATTTTTTCAAGATATCTCAAAACAAACTAGTAATAGTTAAGACTAAATTTAATAATACAGTATTTTTTTATATGAACTTAATTTATTTATATATTGATTATATAGGGTTAAGTTAGTAGAAAAGTGACAAATTTTTTTTAAATAAAAGTTTTCTTAACTTTAAGCTTAAATATCTTAACAACTATTTTATTAAATTTGATAAAACTTTTTTATTTTAATTCTATATAATTTCAAGATTAAAATAAAAAAATTTTTAGCAAATTTAATTAAATAGTTGTTAAGTTATTTAAATTTAAAAAAATTAAAAAATTTCATTAAAAATGATTTGTCTCTTTTCTACTGACTCACTCCCATATATAAAGTTTTTATTTAAATTAAGCAGAAAATAAATTTTAAAAACATAAATAATTTTAATAAATTTGTAAATAAGAAAGTTTTGTCTTAATAGTTGTACTTTTATTATTATTACTTTGTATATACTTATTACAAGCTAATTTATATAATATATCATCTTTATTATAATTAAGTAAAAAAAATATATAAGACAATTTAATTAATAAAAATATTAAAAAAAGATATAATATTTATTAAACTAAAAATTCTGTTCTGATATAGTATTTAATAAAAGTCATTAAATAGATTTTAAAGAAAATTTTATCAGATTTTGTATTGTAAATATTAGCAATAAACATATTCTTAAATGTATTAAATTTTAATTCTGATTTGTTAACATATTTTATAATGTAAGAAAGTACTATATAAAAAGAAATAATAGGTCTTTTTATTAATATTAGCTTTTTAGTCTTAAATTTGAATTTGACAATAAGGATTTAGTAATAAGTTATTATAATATAGTAACAACTCTGAATTATTATTTTTATCAAATTGAATTGTGATTGAATTATATAATTCTTTAAAGTAACTAAACTAATATTCTTCTAGTTTAGTATTTTTATTCATTATAATATAATTAAATAGTAAGCTTTTTATATATTTTTAAAGCTTATTAATCAATTAACAATAATCTTCAAAATTATTTATTAATTTAACTTATTACTTTTAGCATAAATACTGTTTAGATATATAAATAGAAGTATTTAGATTTATTGATATAACTATTAAATCAATATAGGTAATTATTTCTTTTATTAATTGTTTAGTTTATTATATAATCTTTTAATCAAAAATCAAAACTTTGAAGACTTTTCTAATGCTATATATATAAAGACTTTATTCATATTGTTATTTATATTAGTATCAATATTTAGTAAAATTTTATTTAAAGATTAATATATATTTCAAAAAAGTTCAAATTATTGTATACAAACCAAATTGCTATATGAAAATTTAGTGTCAAATTCTAATATTGTATTTGTATAACTTTTATTAAATTAAAGTTATTAAGAATATTAGTATTTAATATAAGATTATACAAATATAATTAGTACAAATTTGCTATATTAAAAATAAAAAACATAAGACTATTAGCACTAATTTATTTAATTATATCTATAAGTTTACTACTCATTTTTTACCAATAAGGATATGTTTCTTGAAAAGTATTTTTATTGAATAATGTAATTAATAAATTGATTATTAGAATTAAATAATTTATAAACATCTTCTATAGTAATATATAAATCTTTTAAATGTTATCATATATTAAAATTTTTTTTTAGTTTCTAAAACTCTATACTATATTATTAAATTCAAATCAAAATAACAATTATTGGTATTATGTGAATTTTTTATTATAATATTTTATTAAATTTTGAAATATTTAATAGAATATATATGATAATGTTGTTTAATACTATATAAATTTGTTTTTCTAATAGGAAACAATGTAAAAAATAATTTTATAATATAATTAGTATTTTTAAATTTATTAATATAAATATTTTCAATTGTAATTCAGAGTATAATATTATTTGAATTTATAAGGCTATTAATTTTATTATAAATAAAAACTTTTTTAGCTTTTTAGATACTGAATTTAGTATAAAAGTATATTTAATATGATTGTTTAACATATTAATAATATCATTTGGATTATAATTATTAATCAAATTAATTGTATTTTTAACTAATAACTTAACATCAAACATAACATATAGTCTTTTGAATACAGATC